GCCAGATGTTTTGGACTTCAGTTTACATCTGTTCCAGCTGGCAGGCCCAGTGGTCAGGAATAATGGAAGTTGTAGTCCAGAACGTATGAAGACTGCCAAGTTTGGGGAGGATGAGGAGGAATTTTCTACCAATACTCAAACTGACTCAACATCACTGATGTCTTAGTGGAATATGTCTTCCTGATTATGTTGTCAGTTTCTCCACTCTTGTGTGGATGTGATATTTTTCAACTGTGTTATTTTACTGAAACTTCTGAAGTACTGTACTATATTTTTAACCCACCTGGAAAGGACAAAGTTGTACAAGGTAGCCCAGAAGTCCTTTACTTGAAGGATTTGATTTTAGACTTCTAGAACTCATTTCTATATTTAATATCCAGCAGCATTGGATGGCTGACATGCAATGGCATTTAATACTGGACAGTGGGGAGCCTATGGTTTCATAGCTGAAGCATAGTGAAGTAAGAAAAAAAGAAGCAGAGCAGCAGCAACGCCAAGGACTCTGATTTTTGAGGTCAAGAAAGCTAAGCTTTGCATTCAAAAAATGTAATTCAAAGTCCCACTGGGAATATACTTAATAACATTTCATCTCTAACTGTAAGCATGGAAATTGGTCTGCAGTTTTTCTGATCAGGAAGAAAAGTCTGTCCAGTGGGCTTGATGCAGGAGGACAAGATCAGGAGAGCACCACTTAGTTCCCCCCTCTTGCTGCTCCTTCATCTATGTACAGGTCTAGGTAGTCGCCAAGTAGTCTCATATTGAACCAAATTGTTTTTGAGGGGATGGGCAGTAGATTCAGGGCAGACAAAAGGAAGTGCTATTATTCTATGAGTTTTGCTCAGGCAATAAGGACGTCCTGAGGTCTGGACAGAGGAAGTGTTTGGGGCAGCGGTCCATTGATGCAGGAGCCCTGACTCTTTCGTTTGGAGCCTGAAACCTCTAGAAAAACCACCTGCTGTCCAGAGGCACTTGCTGAAATAATGGAACAGGGACCCTGTTGGTATCTGCCCATCTGATCCCCTGGGATTAGCCAAATTTTTGCCCACAGGTGCTTCTCCACCACAAGTCTTATCTTTTCTAAGCAAGCAAGCAAACCCTAAGTGCTCTGTAAATGGCTGCCCACTAAATAGCACCACTTAAAAAGAAAGTCCATAGTAAGAGTAATTCATGGAAACTAGTTCTATGATTGATACCAGTCTTCTGCCCTCCAGCAATTTCACTTCTTCCAGTAGCAAATGCAGAGGACCTGATCAGGGATGAAAGGAAAGTAGATCTCCTGATATATGGGACTTCGGCACCCAGAAGCCCCTGCCAGCATGGCCAATGGTCAGCACTGCTTGGAGCTGAAGTCCTGTGATACCAGAGATCTGTTTTCTGACTCTCCCTTTTCTGCTTAGTCCAGAGGCACCCACAATGCCAAGCAGTTGCAGCACCATGGAAAGCTCCGAGTGAGCAACTTTTTTCATGGGCTTTTCTATAGGAGGTGATGAGTACATTTATACGCTGCCTTTTCCCCCTCTTGTAAGCAATCCAAGCTGGCTTACAAGGGTCCCCTCTCCCACAACAACCCTGTGAAGTAGGCTAAGTGAAGAATCAGTGACTGGCCCAAAGTCACCCAGTAAGCTCCATGGCTGAGTGGGTACTAGAGCCCAGATCTCCTGAGTCCAATCCAGCTCCATGACACTGGCCTCAATAAGGATGTTTATCCCAGAACTTTACTGAAGCCTTTTCATTGCAGAAAGTTTTCGGGGTTTTTAATTTCCCTGCCATTCCATAAGTTTTATCAATCAACCACAAGGTGGTGCACTAGCAGAGCACATTTTCCAAAAACACACAGGCCTCTTTTAACTCTAGCAAGTGTGATGACAGGAAATAATGCTGGACTTTCCTCCATCTAAAAAGTAGCACAATTATTGCTGACAAACATGGGAAATGCCCTGGAGAATTGCTAAATCTCCTGACTGTGGTTTCCATCTACCCTGAGGTGATTGACTCCTCAGGTGACTGGAAGAAGGAATCTGCTAGGCTTTGGACCAGGTACTGCAATGGAGACAGGGCCCAGTTCCTCTTCAACTATGTTCTTGAGGTCCAGGCTGTGAGGGGGTGAAATGAGCCACTGAGAATGTGAGGTAGGACACAGAATAATAGGCTCGAGATGCAGGAAGATCTGTTCTGGCTAGATATCAGGAAGGACTTCCTGACTATTAAACCAGTAGGACAATGGACCCAATTGCCTGGGGTGGTGTTGGGCTCTCCCACACTAGAGGCATTCAAGATGCAACTGGACAGCCATCGGGGATGAATGGTTTAACTGGGAGTCCTGTACTGAGCAGGGGGTTGGACCCAATGGCCCCTTCCAGTTCTCTGATTCTCTGATTCTAACATGCTTGTAGGAATGCTGAGGCTAGCAGAAGCAAATGCATGGGAACCCATTAAAAACTAACGAGGAAGCCCCTTGCACTTGGTAGCTAGAGAATGTCAAAGGATGGCTGGAAAGTGGGGGCAGGGGGCTGAAATGGCCTGCTTGGAGGAAGGCACAGCCGGAACCCTGATCAGGAGGACTTTTTCTTCACAGTGCCTGCAGCATTCATGATGGCCACCATCTTGGATGGCATTAAAGGAGATTAGACTGATTCACAGAGAATATCAGTGGTGGCTCCTTCTGGTGGATGATTCCTTCCTCCAGGCTGGGAGGACACATGCTTGCATATGATAGTTATGGGGAAGCCTCGAGCACTCTCAGCTTCTTTATGGGCAGCTGGCTGGCATGCTGGGGTAATTGGGCCTTGGCCTGATCCAGCATGGAATCTCTCATGTTCTTATCTCGGGCATTCTGTTGCAGTTCTTATTTGAATGTGCACTGCAGGGCACCCTTGAGGAACTGTGGGAAAGACCTCTGAGGGTACGTGCACCCCGTGAGCTGCAATATGGACCAAAGAAGGGTGTGTTTAGAAAGGAGGAAGATCACGGCTGGAGACAATGGGTTCTGTTGGAAATGAAAGTGAGTTAATATTTATTAGATTTATACTCTGCTTTTTCCTTACAACAAGCACAAAAAAGGTTCCATCATTCTCCTGCTGCTTCTCTCAATCTTATCTCCACAACAGTCCTGTGAGGTGGGCTAGGCTGAGAGTCTGTGAAGCCCACCAGTGGGTTTTATGTCTGAATGGGGACTAGAATTCAGACCTCCTGAGTCCCAGTCCTGCACGCTTAGCCACTACACCACACTGGCTCTCTGTGTGAGCTCCAAGGTCAGGGGGATTTGGACTCATCAAGTGAGGAGGGGTCCTGAGAACCACAATTCTCAGCCAGGATTTACAACTGCAGGGAGGGGGCAAGGGAGAAGAACTCTTGCAGCCAGCCAAGCCTGGCATGACTTCTGTTCCCATGATGTGATGTTTGAAGAGATGGGCTGACCAACCAGAGGATGAGGACAGAGAAAAGGCTTTCCTGCCACCAGTAATGACATCCCAGGGGTGTGCCCCAGGGGTACTCAAAAGGAGAACGATGGGAAGTAGTTGTTAGATTGAGTTCAACAAACAACTCTGTGCATGCTCAGGGACTCATTGTTTGTTAGTTGTGCTTACTGGAAGTGCCATGGAGCATCAAGAACTTTTGCCAAAGAACAGTCTGTGTTTTGGAAGTGCGAAGGGGGAAAAGCTGGCTCACAAGAGATTAATGTCAAGAATCTGGGTCAATACCAGGTTCACAAGATAAGATTTATCTGCTGAAGCCACGCACAGAATCTTATTCATAATGACACTCATAGAACTTTTATCATGCAAAGTTCTTTGCCATCTCATTCACCCAGGCAACAGTTCCTGTGGAGGCAGCATGCCATTTTCATCAGGTTCTCAGTTGAAGAGCTGAGAGAGGGCAGCTTAATCTAAGATCAGTCACTGGCTCAGCACAGTTTTGAACCTACAATTCCTAGGCTCAGTTCTAACTATTTGGGCTCACAGAGGCTTATTGCTGGTAGGAAGCAGGTTGGCAGGAGCCCAGGGTTGTAGAGAAATTCATTCAGTTCACATTTTAATTTAGCTCTCTTTCAAAATCCACATGTCTCTGCTTTTCAACCAAGTTCTCAAAACCAAAAATGATTATATTCAGAGAAAGTGCAGGAAAAGAATATGAATCTTGGTAAAATAGCATTAAAATGTGAACTTTTAGGAGAGATGTGCACAAAAATGTATATGAAATGTCATACTTTAAAAAAAAATCTCAGTGTTTTGGATGAAATGAATTTAAGCTTGGAAAAAATGAGGAGCTGAAACTGATATATTCTCTTATCCTCACACAAAATACTTGGGTTTATGGAGGTCTAGGACTGGGCATATTCTGTGACTTGTCCAGCACATCCAAGTGGGTCTTCATGAACTGGTGTACCACCACCGTACATCAAAAAGAGACACAATAATGGCTGCATTTGATAGTGGGACAGGATCTCTTCCAATCTCCTTATCACTTCCATGTCTGAGTAGCTGATGCTTGTTAAACTGCAGGTGGAGATAAAAGGAAGCTGCTTGAGAAATGCCATTGGTCTTTTCAGCAGTATTTTGGCTTCCTGTGAAGCTTCTTAGAGTCTTTGCCCTAGAAGGAACCTCCTTTTGACCTCAAATATTAAAGTACTTCAAAATATCCAGAGTCTTGCTGAAAGAATTGTGATAATTGATCAGAAATCCCTTTTCACAGAAATTTGCAGGCAATACCTGAATTCAGCTTGGATTTTGTTTTAGGCAAACTGCATGGTGTCTTCTCTGGCGGAAAATGACTTGGCACATGAATGGTTCATACAATCATTAACTCTGAGTCCTACAGCCCCGTTCTCAAGTCCTGCTGCAGGCCCCACTTGGATCAGGCAAGACATGTGAATGCAGAACTGAAAGACTAAAGAGGAAGCCTTCTGTTGAACTTTGGCTGGTGAAGACAGGACCTTGGGTGGCATTGGGTGGATTGCTTCTGGTCATTCAGAATGCTTTCACATTGATGTTCCTGAAGTCTCACGGGGATACCACATAAGCAGTGGCTATGTACTTTTTGCCATTGTCATAGCTGGATTTATCCCAGGTATAGGTCTGGATCCCCAGATCATGACCCCCAATTTTCAGGCGACACCTGAAGAACAGAAAAATGGGCATTTCATTAGCATTCTAACTAAATTAAATCTATTCCTTCTGTGTCTTTCAGATTGTCAGGCATCTCACTGTCATCCATCCACTGACAAAATCAGAGGTTTTAGGAGTGTAGGAGAATTTTGCTCCACTTGAGCAAGTGTGCATTAGCACTTATGTGCCCTAAAGCAAGTCAGCATCAGAACAAATGCACATGAGAGCGTATGTGGATTTCTGCAAGTCCCAATCAAAAGCTTTTAAAAAATGCTCTACAAGGCCACAGAAACTGTGACTTGCAAAAAGCCAGCCTGCTGCAGAATTCACTGGTCAGATTCACAGAAATACAAATCATCTGAATTCATAACAGATTTCTCCTGCATCTCCACTCCTGAGTCACCTGCCCTGTGCCCACCCCCACAACTCCTGATTTCAGCAATACCATCTCCATAGCCATCTGCCATCCAAAGTAACAAAGGATATCTGGATTCATTCTAAAATACATGGAGAAAGCAAATGCCTGTTCTTCACATCACTGCCCCAAGGAGCATTGATCACCACTATCTTACAGGGGGTTTTAAAGAAGCAGTTTGGACATATTCATGGAGAACAGGTCTACTAATGGCTACTAGTCATGGCCACTAAGCTTCCATTGGAATGGAATTTGCAGAATTTCAAATACTAGGACCTAGAAGAGCTGAGGACTGTAGACTGATCTAAGGTCTCCAGAAGTATCTTAATGCATGCCTTTCGACTAGAACCAGAATCAGAAAAATGGCACAACCAGGGACAGACACCAAGGTACAGATCTGGGGCCTATGATCCAAAGGGCCACTAAATAACCCCCTGAATTCTCTCTATCCTTCTCCATCTGGCCTGGCCTGGCCCCACCATTAGACAAAAGAAACACCCTGGCAGTCAGTCAGGCAATCACGCCATTTTTAAAAGCAAAAGGTTTTTCACTTCTGTTCTGAGTAGTAGCAACCTGAACCAATCAGATGCTGTCTTTGAGAGGCACAGCCTATGAGGACACAGGAGCAAAATAAACCTTTGTTTTCACCATTCCAGAGTCCTTTATGATGTGGCATCCCAAAGACAAGTTCTGATTGGTTAAGAGCACTCCTACTCAACATAAAAGATAAACACACATACATACCCCTTTACTTTTAAAAGGAGCTGCTACCACCATTACATTTTTTGTGAGGAAGGAGGACTGGGTGGCATCATTTGCAGTGGTGGTGACAGCAGTGGGGGATAGGCAGCAGCAGAAGGGGTTGGAATGAGGGAGAGGCAATCAGAAAGCCCCTTGTTCTGAGCAAAGCTAGCTGTACCCCAGTTGGAGGTAGGGAACTGTTCCATTCTATGGTTCCTGGATTGTGTCCCAAGACATCCAGATGATGACAAGGTTTGTTCCCTTCCCCTTGAAGCCCAATTCCTTTTCCCAAAGCCCCACTCTCATGTCTTCTGTGTCTCTTTCCCTTCTCAGCAGACAAAAGAAATCCTGCTCTTACCTCCAATGACTGACCAGAGATAAGATCAGGGCTTCCATAGTGTTAGTGCTACTACTAGATAAAGGAAGCCTGCTGTGAGTAGTGATCAGATTTCCCCTTTTTAGCACTGACAAGTGCAACTGTGTGTAATGTAGAGAAGGGGCATGTTCCTCTCCAGCCTGTCTTTGTGGGGCAGACTGGGGATGCTGATGAGCCAGATTAGGTCTGTGACCCAGAAGTTCTCTGTTCCTGTTCTAACTGATTTGTTTCTTCTGTCTTAGCAGCAACATTATCATTTCATTCAGAATCTGATTCTTTAAACTCTTGATACACTTTACAGGGAAATGAACATTCTAACATGGTGTGCGGGACTCTGACCTATCATGTGCTCTGCCCCACGCCTGCCCCTGCACCCACCCGGCCTTTTCTTTAAGGAGAAACTCTTTCCTCTGTCATTGTACTCACAGTTTCCCAGGCCTAGCAATGAAACACAGTGAATAGAGGCCAAATTCAAATTCAGGACTGCTTCCGATGAAGGATGTTCCAACCTCTTTGTAAAATCCATCCCAATTGAATTGCATCCCCAGTACATCTGGATAGGAGGTCCACTGAATGAAAAGGAGGAGGAGGCACCGGAAAACATTATGAGGTTAGTTATATAGGATATTTGCAGCAATGAAATATTTCAAGGAGGCTATCTTCCACTGCTGAGTCATAAAAATGCAGACCAATTTACACTGTCCTCCTGTAGATATGAGCCCTCTGATGGCTAATGATATGCAGGTGATGGATGTAGCATAACATGCCTTTAATGTTTGGCAGAAAAATTCATGTGTACCCACTTTGTGAGGAATGAAGATGGCACTCAGGGTGAATAGGCCTTTGTATTCTCTGTGTCTGCTTCATGTGACACTTTGTTGAGGAAAGAAATGCATCTTTTTACACTTCAGCCTTTGGGGGAATGTGCTTTTTTCTTTAAAAATCATATGACTAAATTTGAATAGATTTCTAGAAAGTGGCGGGGGTGGGAAGTCCAGATCTCTGCATAATCCCAGTTGACTCAGGAAAAGCCAGACCACTACATAATCTGCAGGTCAGATTCACAGAAATCTAAATTCATTTGAATCATTATGAATTTTTCCAGCACCCCTATCCATGCAGCATATTCAGTGGGCTGGAGATGCTGCCATGAGGGGAATTGTAGAATCATGGGGTTTGAAGGGACCATGGAGTCCAGCTTCATGCCCAGTGCAGGAATGGCTGCCCCATCTCTGCTTGAATTCCTCCTGTGATGAAGCACAAGCCCCCTCCATCTCCCTAGGCACTTGGTTCCATTGTCTGACCACTCTACCTTTAGGAAGCTTTTCCTGACATTCAACTGATATTTTCTTCCTGGAATTAAATCCTCTTATTTCATGTCTTCCTGTCTTGGATGACATAGAAGACCACAGCCTTCTGCCATGTGACAACCTTTCAGGTGCCTCCCCCTCCCCCTCATTCTTTTCTTCTTAATGCTAAACATACATAGATCCTTCAATCCTCATTCATATGACTTAGAAGCATAGTGAATCAGAAGGGGCCTCCTGAGCCATATTAGTTTCTGGTCTGGTGATTCTCTTTGTTGCCCTTCTTGGAACTTGCTCCAGTTTATCTCAAGCCTTCTTTAAGTGTGGTGTCTAGAACTGGACCCAAGTTCTGAGGTGAAGTCTGACCAACACAAAGTAGAGTGGAACTGTTATTTCATGTGATTTCCAAACTGTATTTCATTTCATGTAACCTAAAATTGCATTTGTCTTTTTTGCAGCCACAGAGAAGCAAGAGCCAGTGGACTTCTGCTAGCCCTGTTGTGTGTGGTTAAATCTAGATCCAGTCCTAAATTTGGAGCCAAGAAAACTGTGATGGCAGTCTAGAGGAACTGCCTCTGAATTACCTGGATTCCAAAATGTAGCAGCATCTTTGGGAATGGCTGGATCTTCCTTTTCCTCTTGAACAAAGCTGATAGTATACCCATCTTTTTCTGATGTACTCATATTCCTCAAGAAGGTTTTACCCTCTCCCAGTGAAATTGGAAGACTGTTAGCACACTGGTACTCACCGGGCCATCATAGTTGTAACTCAAATAGTTAATGACACCCTGTTTCTCCAGGAGGTAGAAACGAATCCAGTTGTGGAATCCAGATACTTTCCCTTTCTTGACTTCACCTAAATAGTAAAGAACATACCCCATTGTGAATGTAGGTACTGTAAATCATGTCATTAGTAAGTACCTCTATTTTAGAAATGCCTGCAGTGTCAAGAAGGAAGGAAGGAGTAAAATGAAGTACTCTATGCATAGAGGTAATTCTATTGCACTGGAATACTAAAATCAGCCCAATAGCTGGATTTAGTAGAATAAAATTAACAGTTTGTAATGTTGTTCCAGAGTAGCAATTTTTATTTCATATTATTATTATTATTATTATTATTATTAATAATAATAATAATAATATTACAGAAGGAGGTTAAGAGAGAAAATTGGGAATGATTTCAGAAATCTGTACATGCTTTCTTGCCTGTGTCTGAGAAGATGCCCAAGTAGCTATGCTTTAAATAGGGGTGGGAAACCCATGGCCCTCAGATATTTTGACCTACACCTCCTATCATCCATCACCATGCCATCTATGGTTCATGTAGGCCCAGAAGGGCACAAATTGCCCATCCCTGGCTTACGGTCTGTCTGTGGAGGTTGAACTCTACAGCCTTGTGTTCCCTTCCAGTCCTGATTCCTGCCCCCCTGCCAAAGTTACTGGCTGAAACATAACTGCTGGGGTCAGAAATCTTCCTGTCTCCATTCAACAGAGGTGGTGAGCCCTGAAGGAACCTGACAGTCCAGCAGATTCAGTTGGCTTTGCTTTGGACCTTAAATTGCTGGGATGGGGTGGCCGGGGGAGGGGGGCAGAGTGTGGAATAATGTGAAGAATAATTAGAATCACATGGGGCATGGAGATTCCTGCTGCAGCCATTCCTTCACAGTTTATTTGCCCAGGCTATGAAAGTCCTCAACCCAAAGCCCTCCAGGGGCATGTTGGGAATGAGTGTGCTAACAGAAATTTTCATGCTTTAAGGGAAAGAATTTGCTCAGTTGCTTCTGACTCTTCAATGGATGTGTCCCCTAGAGAATAAAGTCAAAGTATGGCTTCAGTGTCCCTCATTTGAGATAAAGCATACATAATACTCGCCTACAACCTTTACAAGGCACAGACATAAACAGCTTTAGAAGACTGGCCCTGTAGTTAGTCATCTATAGTTTTCTGTTTGACAAAATGCACTCCCAGTGGTACTAAGCTAATGCAGAAAAACAGTGCAAAAAGAAGAGATTCCTTTTAATTGCTAAAAAAATGCCTCCCCTCCTCTGCTGATTTTTGCTTCATCAGACAAAGGCCTGTGCACAGCAAAGTAGCAGGAAGCATAAACATACTTCTGAGCAACAGGGAAGATGCATTCCCTTACCCCAACCTCTTGTACACATTCCAAATGACAGCATGTACAGGGCTTTGTGATTCTCAAGGAAGTCATAACAAAGCCAAGCCTGATGGGCCACCTGATGTTGTGATGTCATCACAGTTGCTTGGTGCTTCCTGGTAGTTTGGAATCATGCAAGAAGAAACCTTTTTCCAGGTTGTCATGTTTGTTTGCTGATGGTGCCAAAGAGGCAGCAGCACACTGCCACTACTAGATGGGCAGTGTCCCTGACTAAGTGCAAATGCTACAGGAAGGAATAAAAAGATAGGGCTGCCTTTTATGAGTATACCTATAAAAACATGCTCAAAGCCACTGGAGTCGCCTTCATCATTACCCCTGGAATAAAGGCCAAACCACATCTTCTTGAGGTCAGCAACGAACTCTGGCTCTGTACTATAACGGTCTAGGAGAGAGATAATCAGGGTGGACAAAAAACATTAATTCCTCATCAAAAACTGCGGAAGGATGGAATGCTGAGTTAATTAATTAATTAATTAATTTAGTTTGACATTTCTATGCCACCCTCTTCTCCAAATGGAGTGTCTAGGGGGGCTCATATGATTTTAAAATTATACCCCCCATTAAAATTATACCCCCCCCCAGGGTGACTTATTTTATTTTGTAATTTATTTTATATTATTAATTTGTTTTATATTTTGAATGTATTATATTTTAATTTTATGTTGTGAGCCTCCCCAAGGCTTTGGCGAATGGGGCGGCATAGAAATGTTTTAAATAAATAAAACACTATAACTAATATAAACAATCCCAGAAAAACAAGGAACTATCATCAAGACAGCAATAAATAAATAGGTCATTATATGTTCTCACTGGGAAGACAACCATACAATGATATATTATTACAAACATTAAAATCAGTATGTGTGTGTGTATAAAATTTTATTGTTAAAATGCCTAGAAAAGAGAAATGTTTTTGCCTGGCACCAAAAAGAGAGTAGTGTTGGTACCAGGCAAATTTCTCTAGGGAGCTGATTCCACAAGGGAGGTGGGGGAAGGCAGTTACTGGGAAGGTCCTTCCTCTACTTTCCATCCTCTCACCTCAGTGAGGGATGGCTCCTTTAGAGGACCTCCTGTTCCCAGAACTCAGTGGTCGGGCAGGTATATACAGGAGTTGCTCCCATAGCATGCTCCATAGCCAGGCACAGTGAATCAAGGGGAGATTTCTCCTAGAGATTTTTTGCCCCCTTGTGGAACTGCAGTTCCCATGATCCCCTAGGAAGAACACATGAACATTTCTCCACTTGAGCTCCTACAGGTGAGGAATGCATTTCCATTGTACTATCCCACACTGTGAAAAGGTGCATGGGGGAAATACAACCTGTGGGTAGTGCAAAGGAGAAAGCATGGCCAGACTTCTTCACATGAGCTCTGCCTAGCACGGGATTGATTCCAATGCTGTACAATCCCTCAGTGTGAATGGGTGCATGGGAAAAATGCTCCCCACGGGTGTTGCCTATGACATAGTTCTTTCACATCTGATTGGCAGGAACCCTTTCTTCGTATAGTGTTGAATGCACAGGACAGAGTCATGCAATAGGCCCTGCCCACATGATCATGTAATTCATACATTTTCAGCAGGGGTGGTGAAGCTCTTTCAGGACAAGGGCCAAATAAGCCCTCAGGGTGGGTGGGGCTGAAGGCCAAAGAGACCATGCCGGACCTTCCTTCCTCCACCATCCACTGAAAGTGGCTGTGCAGCTGAATCGCCCTTGATTCTGCTGGCAAAGAAAGTGTGCAGGGACAGCGATTTGGAATGGAACGAATGGTGGGCAGAATGCAGTTCTGCAGAAATGCAAAGTACACAGTCCTTACACACAGCAAACAGCTGGGGGAAATGTGATTCTACTGGAAGTCCAGTGAGCCTTCTTCACTGTGGTAGAGGATCAAGCATGGGCTGCAGAGACCTCAGGGGGCTACATGAAGCTTGATCATCAAATGTGGCCCACCCCACTCTATCTGGCCTCACTCATAGGCTTTATTCAGTGGCATAAACCCACATCAGCTTCAATCCTGACAGACTCACGTTTGCTGTGAAGGAACCTGTAAAGGTCCTTCATGACCTCCGTCTTCATGACCTCTTCAAGGAAGGTATCCTGCTCTGCCAGTTGCTCTGCAGTGAAGTCTTCCTCTGTCCCGACCCTTTTATGATAGTTGTCCAGGAGCTTGATGAAGCTGACATAAGTTGGCTTGGAAAAAAGCTTCTCCTGATTGACATAACTGAAGAGCCTACACAAGAAAACAGTTTCCAGGCTTTCAAGATGGTCTTGCTTTCTGCAGGGCTATGTTCTCTAAAGGCACGGAATGCATCCCGCATCCCATCATGAGCAGCTCAGAGGAAAGGCCCAGCCACTGACCAGCAACAGCAACCAGGATGCTCGTGGCCTTTCCTTCATGAAGTAGATAAGCAACCTGGTCCTGTAACTTGTATTTTCTGTACAACCACTGAATGAACAACCACTCAATTTTTTACATTGAACAGGCTGCCTAAAGCTGATGGGGCTTGTAGTCCCCACCCTCCAGATGGCACCAGGCTGCATACCCCCATCTGTGTTCACCTAATATTTTCCACACACCAAATTCCACACACTGCATGCCACAAAACATCCCATGGGCTGGTGTGAAACTCACGGTTTGGGGGACTGATCTTCATGGTCCCTGGTGTTTGAAGCTAAGTGTTGCTTGTTAAGGATGATATCGGATTCCTCTGCTCTGTTGTAGTCACCCTGGTAAAGCTGCTCTGATGTTTTCTGCAGTTCTTCATTGCTGATAACATCATCATGTCTGGAAAATCCCTCTGTGAGAGAAGCAAGTCTTTGAGCAGAAGGACAGGATGCAACAAATCTGCAAGAGGCTTCTAATGGCCTGGCTCCCATGAGTTCCTGATATTAGGCTGGACCAAAGGTAGCAGGGACCACTCATTGTGGTGAGGAACAGAAAATAGGCTGCAAAGGGATTGCTTAACCTACCCAGTAGGGAAGGAGAGATCAGCACTTTTCTAGATCATGGCAAGCTTGCTTGTATAAATTGATCGTTCCATTTTCTCCTGTCCTTGCACAAGCCTGAGATCTTTTAAAATCTGCATGAAAACTCTTACTGAAGTATGCATTTCAGCTCCATTTTCTTACAAAACATGCTCACAAGATGACTGCTATGGAGAAAGTGGCTTGCTCATACCTGAGATGGCTGCCATGGGTACAATGAGTGAGGAGGCCAAAACAAAGTACTCTGTCAACAAACAAAAGTACAAAACAGAATGCTTTGTACTCAAAACTGCTCTTTTGAGCCTGAAGACAAATGACGCTGGAAGGCAGTGCATCTTCCAAGGATTCCTGAGAGCTCAGTTTCTCTAGAAAACATAGCTTCCAACTAGTACCAGCAACTTAACTGACAGTATGCTCAACCTCTGGGGGCTTCCTCTAAGTGCCAACCCCATGAGAGGCTCAGAGAGTGGCAACAAGGTAGAGGGTGTTTTCTGTGTGGCCTCCCATCTTTGGAACAACCTCCCTGTGGCCCAGCTGTCACCAAACTTGCCATCCTTCAGGTTCTAGGTCAAGACAGACCTTTATACAGAGGCATTTAAAGATCTCTTTGTTTATCCGGGGGTCTAAGGAGATTATCCTGGTAAGTATTCTTCTTCTTGTGTCTTTTTATTGAATTTATGGTATTTTTAGGCTTTTAAAAATTAATTTAACATTATTTTAACATTGCTGTTTTATGTTAATTGTATTGTATTTTATTGCTTTGTTTTATGCATTCTCGTATACTGCCTGAAGAGCTTTGGCTATAGGGTGGTACAGAAGTGAAAGCAAGCAAGCGCTACAACTAAGGGCCCGCTGCTAGCCTCAGATTTTGTGCAAGTCACACACCTCTTCCAAAAAGTGGCACAAGTACTCACCAGCAGATACGGTGCTGCTTTCATTATTGTCTGCATTAGCTGCAAAAGAGGGGACAAAGGGTCACGTGTAAACCAAGACTAAGAAGAATTTAGGCTGGGTGGATCTGCCTGGTAGTTCACCAGAATTTTGATGCCTGCCCAGTGGAGCCAGGGGAAGAACAGTTTTACTTGCAGGTGAATGGAGAATTAAGGGGGCTCCAAGGCCAGCAGGGTGGTATATCTACTCTGGGTTCCAGATGGAGATGTAAAGGAGCTATCCATGGTGCTTAACATGTTTTATGGGGTGCGGGGGTTAACACCACAAATAGTTCCATAGATCTGCCATGGATCTATTCCCAATATGAAATCTAGCAACTGCATCTCATTATTCCACATGTTATTGGAGGACATTACCAAAGCTTGTTCTTAGGAGCAGGGAACTGTCTGTGAACAAGAGACTGGACCATTCCATGCAAACACACACAAACACACACAACAAATGTCTCTATGTCCACTCACCTGTTCTGCAGTGGATGTGGTAGTCTTCACAGCAGTTCTGATGTTTCTCACATTTTCTGTTACAATGGCAAACATCTCTAGGGCTGTACTTCTCATTGCATCGTCCTTTGCAAGAATCCGGGGGGCCATATAAAGCTGAAATTTATGGGAAGGAGAAGCTGTGGATTAATAGCATATGACCAACAATGGAGCTAGGGCTTCTCTATTGCAACTGGACAGCCATCTGAGAGGGATAGTTTAACTGCAAATGCTGCACTGAGCAGGACCCAATGGCCTTCTTGGCCCCTCCCAACTCTACTGCTCTATGAGTCTGTAATTCTACATAAGGTTTTTAGCCTGCACTTTACTGAGGGTCTTCTTTGGAGTATTCAGTGGAAGGAAAAAGGTATCCTTTACACATGCTCCTTCCCCCTCTTTCTCTGCCTTTCTTTGCATTCCATTAGCAAAGCACAAGATGGTGTAATTGTATAGCTGCCATATAATGGAATTGTAGCAATACTGGAGGTGTTTATTTGTGTTTAGAAACAGAAGCAGAGCGAGTCAAAAAGGGACTCCTGGGCCATCTAGTCTGACCCCTGGCTCCAGCCAGCTCTGCTCATGACATGCCTACCATGTGCATGGTTTGTTCTGCCTTTGAAATGTAACCACTGATTTCCCTTCCTTTTAGAGAGAGAGAGAGAATGCAAGCAAGCGAGCAAGCTGGAAAAGGCAGGAGATGCCCTGGAGGAGAAAGATGCCAATGGAAAGATGAACTCACTTCTTTGAGTAAGGGCTCACAACCACACAATTAGTGCCTCATTAGAGAAGCCCAGAGTGTGCAGATTCAGCAGGCAAGGCATGTGCCAGCTCATTAATTCTGCAGTTACTGCCTCCAGTAGTGCACTGGCCTGGGGAAAGATACAGCAAGCTCTTTCTATGGCACTTTTATTAATAGCACAGTGTTGTGCACACACGCTCTGGCAAGATTCCCAGGCGCACATGTGAAGCTGATCGTTTTGATGGGACTGATAGCTCAGAGTCTGGGGATGATGGGGTTGGCTGACCCAGATGGGGCTCAGAGCTCGAACTCTGATAATGGAATTGTTGTAATGGACAGGCCTGCAACTACAACCCCAATTTCTCAGTAGGAGTCTGAGACTGCTCTAGAGGAAAGTAGTTCAAGGATAGCCATGGGGCCCAGTGCCCCTGCCTGTGGGAATGAAGGAGACATCCTGAGGGAGGGGATTTGGAAATGGGCAGTCTCTCAGATGAGGAGACCCATGTGAGGTGGCAGATCCAAGGGCCACAGCCACAGGCTGGCCCAATTAGGGGAGTGAGGAACGCAGGTGTGCCCAGTTCCGCAGCGTCCCTCCTTCCTGAGACAGGACCAGAAGGGTTCCGGTTAAAGTGGGGCAGAGAGGGCTCAACATCTCACTCTGTGTATTCTCAGAAGCTTGTGTATGCTTAAAGTCCTTCATGTAGAATAAAGATGCTTACAAGAAGAGCTGGAGAGTCTGTCTTGCTGGGGAGGGAATGCCTAGCTTATGAAACACAGCATCTTTTTATCCCTGCTTTCTTAGAGAGGGTATTGGCAAGGTTGTGAGATGTATAATGCTCTGAGGACACAATTACAGGGTGGAGGGTGAGACTACAAAGCCAGGACTGGGTGGAATCTGGGAATCCTCAGCTTGGAGGGCGTCTCCCAGGAGGGGATCTGCAGCCCCAGTAGGTGCCCTCCTTCCCCATCTGAAAAGCTCTGATAAGGGAGAGTCAGCCTGAGACAGTTCCAAATGATTGATCCAGAATCTTTTCTTTTCTTTTCTTTTCTTTTCTTTTCTTTTCTTTTCTTTTCAGTAACTTTCCCTTTTTGAACATTAAAGGGTTAAAAACTGAAAAATGATCACACTTTGAAAACATACATTTAACATAATCTATAATGCTTCTCCTCTCACTCCTTGATCTAGTTACATATTCTAAAATCCCTCGGGATACATGTTGGTAAAATAGAAACTCTTATGATAATGACAATGACATTTTTGATTACATTAGTATATTCAATGATGGTAACCAAACAGGTTGAAAAGAATAAAACTTTCATTGGCAACTCGTAACCTGTAATTTGTATGATAATCCATCCATTACTGCTGCTTTCCATTCCAATTTATGCCCTTCATTCAAATCTGTGAATTTAAAATCCTTCTAATGTAACACTATTACTTTTCTAGCAGCAAATAAAAGATGTGGAATTGGAACCTTCCATTTGAACCTAACCAATACACCCTCCTATCCATGTCCTGCCCTCTGGTAGACATTGGAAAACCAAGGGTGCTTCAGCAGTCTAAAATTGTCCAGACTTTACATCAAATTTTGTTTTGTCTCCCTGCCATTTTCATTTGAGAACTGTTTTTTGTTTGTTTGAACCAGAAGGGGATGTGCCTTCCACCTTCCCCAACCCTGGGTATGAAGTGTGAAAATGTGCATTGTTTAGAAAATATGCATTTTGGGAAGCATGCAGTTTTCAAAAAGGAAAAAAAAAATAGCATTTTTCAAATACAATCTCAAGTTTGGAGTGGACAAACTTTTTTAATATATAAAATGCATTTCGTTTGCATTTGTTCCATGAACAAATTCATCCAATTTACAAACTGAAATGAAATTCCAGTGTGTCCCTGTCCTCTGGAGCAATGAAAACTGAATCTACAATTCAGCCTAATATTTCCCCTTTTGGTAAAATGGTTGCAGCCTGTGCACCCCAATTTCTGAGCCTCCATCAACTGTATTTTTCTTCCCATGCCATATTACTCCCTGCCTGAATGGAAAATCACCCCAGAATCCTCTGTATGGTACCATGGGTCCATCAAGAAAGACTGGGAATATTTCTACTCACAATGCTACAGTCCATGCATGTGTTTACTTGTTCTCAGGACAGGTGGCGTCCTCCAGGGAAAGCAGCAGTGAATACAGCCGCTTATGTAACACAGCTCATTAGCTTGGGTAGAGCAGGTGACGACATGGAGCTCTTTGCCCTCACTTGTTCCTGGCAAGTGATACCATCAGTGCAATTCCCAGCAGTTTCCAGGAAGGTTTGGGAAAGGCGTAGCTTGTTTAATGACCTCTGTGATGTTCAAAGCGCTGCTTTGCCAAAGTGTTTCAGTCATGCATCAGAATGTGATATTGGAGCATTTTTTGTGCATAAGAGAGGAGGAACTTGCAACCCTTTTTAATGTTCAACACGGTTTGGGGAGAGGCTTGGCTCCTGAGGTACACCCACTGAAGGATAAGGCTTGCTGTCAGTTCCCATCAAATAGGATTGGCAGTTTTTTTGGCAGTCCTGCTCAGCCCTGCAAAATGTGCTTGTCACAGATGAAACCTTTATGAGCATGCATGCCTCAAGTAATAATCCCTCTTTTAATTGCCTTCAGCTCTCTGTAAAAACAAGAAGCAAACAAAACCCATGAGCCAGGCTGAGCTCTCCACCCATATTCATCCACTGTATTTGAGAGTTCTCTGAGTGGTATAAAGTTTCAGCACGGTTGGTTCATTCTGTACTCACCTCCCTGTTGTATCTGATTTTTAATTTACAAAACAAAACCCAAATTTGGTTCAGCTTTGAAGGGAGCAAGAATGTCGGTGGACTTAGGCAAGCATTCCTGTGAGATGTAAGATGCACCAATTTTGGCAATTGTGCTAATTCAGATTCTGATTCAGAAGAGGAATATTTCAATGGGATTGAAGAGCATCTCCTGCCCAATCTCCATTTCACTTTTCAAACAGTGCTTGCTTTGCACAAAAGTGAGATTTGAAGATCTGTGCAAATCTCCCCAAACTTGTGTAGGTATCCTCAAACTATGCCTGGGCAGGAATATATGTCCATATATGCCCGCCCACCCCTTGAGATCAGTGAGAGAGGCCCTTCTCCGGGAACCCTCCGTGAAGGATATTAGGAGCGTAAGTACTCGGAGGAGGGCTTTCTCTGCGGTGGCGCCTAAGTTATGGAATGCGCTCCCCAGAGAGGTCCGCCGGGCGCCATCATTATTTGTTTTTCAGTGCCAGGCGAAGACCTTTTTATTTAAACGTCATTTTAATTGTTAATATTATTTATTTATTTTATATTTCAGATCATCTCAAATTATATTGTTTTTATACTATGATTATTCATTTATTGTTGTGAGCTGCCCCAAGGCTTCGGCGAATGGGGCAGCATAGAAGCTTCCTAAATAAATAAATAAACTCTCACAAATATCGCCAAATTTGTACAAACCTTCTCCATAAAGTGAGGCTGAGTCGATCTAATGAGAACACTTGTGCAAATTAGGAAATCTGTGCAAACCAAACTAGGAATCAGGAATGAGACAAACACAAGCATGTGCTCAACAATTTGCAATGTTTTTTGGCTCAGACTTGCAGGCAGACTTCAAATGGGGGAAGTTCATGTGTTCTACAAGCAAAACCTATATTCTGATGCTTCCTTCTATCCTGCTACAGGGAAATGAAGCCATTCATTTCTCAGTTTCCTCCTCATACATCATAATCTCTATGCTTCTTTGGCCACATTTTGCCATCTTTCCTAGTTTAGCTGCTCCCCTTCAGTCAAATTTTTCACTGTTGCTCTGCCCAGATAGGCTTCTACTGCTCAACCACCTATGATTCATTCTTCATCACAGGCCCAACTCATAATTGTTCCTTGCCACCACATGCCTGTGACACCTGTCTTGTTTATCCAACATGAGGCTTCCATCCTACAGTTGATCCTTGTGGTTCCCATTTCAGCAGAAAGAGAAAACAGGCTACCAAAACACTGCGGGGAAAGTGGTGCTCCAGGCAGCAGTCCAGAACCAGTGTGTGACTGATGCACTGTAGCAAAGGGTAGAGCTGACCTGTATAACTGGGGGAAGCATTCAGCAAAGCTGTGTGCCACTCTTCAATTTAAGTGGAGGGACTCTCATGTGAGCATCCTCTGTTTTGCAAAAATAACTTCACTGAATGTATAAAATGTGCAGGTAAGGGATAAACAATAAGTTACAAATATTTGGATATATGCTTAGTTGCTATGATTGTTAAGCTGCTGTTTTCTTGGAAGAAAGCTGGAAAACTAATCATATAGATAAATGCAACTCTCCCGACGTGCTCTTTTTTAATAGACACTGTGGTCACTT